TTGACTGTCACGGGGCACGGCGAGGGCCCCCGGAAGCCGAAGCTGGGCCAGAACCTCTCCTCGCGACTCTGTGCGCGACGAGGTGGGGCTCCTCGCGCGGACCTCGCTCGGCAGTGATGGGCCTGTTTTCCGCCACCACCCCCATAAGTTGGCGGGGTGGAAGGAGGTGGAGAACGAGGAGGAGGAGGAGGACGGAGAGGAGGAGGAGGAGGAGAAGGAGGAGGAGGAGGAAGAGGAGGAGGAGGGGGGCCCCCCCCCTCCAACTGATGGTGGTGGTGGTGGTGGAAAGCAGGCTCACCAGGCAGACCTCAGCAGGCCGCTCACGAGCTCGCAATCGGGCCCGTCCGCTCGGCCGCACGCGCCGCGACGCCCGCTCGAGGGGTGCGCGGCCCACTCCGCGGCGGTCAGGCCGTCGTGGCACCGGCTCCTTGGGTCTGCCACGCTGGGGCGGGGAGATCTGCACGCGTACACTGCTCCTCCCTCCTGAGATACCCGTCGCTAGGTTGTTCCGCAGCAGGCGATGTTTCGACTACACGCCAGAGTGACCCTGGGTAAGAGTGACCTTTGGTGCGCGGATTTTTGGGAGACGCGGTGGAACCAAACACAAGCGTGCAAATTGCTACTACCGTATCGTACTCGGCGATCGGGGGACCCCCTGTTCCCGCACCAAAGATCACTCTGGCGAAAGGTCACTCTTACGTGTAACAGAATGTTGCCTTGCTTCAGGCCCCGGGCCCCCGCAGATCGATCCAAGCGCGAAAAATAATAAGCCGCAGAGAGGGGTCTGGGGCCCCGGTCGTGGCTGTCCGGGAGATGCTGCACTGCATGCCCTTCTTGGCGCAGCATCGAATCTCAGGGTACCGATGCCCATCTTTGGCCCAGGAGCAGTGTCTACGCCCCCCCTTTCTTAGCCAGGGAGGCATATGCACCGCTCCTGAGCCCAGGATGGTCCTGGCTGGGGGCGGTGGATACCCATAGATCTCGCGGCCCGACATGGCCTCGAGGAGCAGCTCCGAGACGTCGAGGGCGTTGTGGAGCGCAACCGCGCCCCAATGCAGCGCAGTCTGACCAAACTTGTTGCGGTGCCGCGCGGCAAGGGTCCCGCAGGGAGAGCCCGCCAGCAGAATCCTGACCAAGTCCACCTGGCCGGTGTCAGCTGCAACCAGAAGTGCAGTGTTGCCAAGCTCGCTCGTCGCCATGACATCGGCCCGTGCAGACACTAAGAAATCCACAAGTTTCGCAGAACCGCTTGCGACAGCATGCGTAAGCCCAGTGGCCCCCTTTAGATCCAACTCGCCATCTAGATCCACTGCATACAGCAGCGCACCATCCCAAGCTAGCATCCTGCGTGAGGTCTCAACTTCTCCTTGCAACGCAGCTTCGAAAAAATCTTGTGGAGGCGCAGTGATGAGGCAACGTATAACAAGGTCCACCGTGACAGTGGGGCAGCTCATCCTGTTCATGATCAATGCCGCGAGCTTCGCTTCAGCCGATGAAGTTTGGAATATATGGGCCACGGGTTTTCTGACATATGCATCCACCTCGTTCCCCAAGTCATCAATATGCCGGACAATGTTGTATTTGTTCCAGTCTCGTTTTGCGGTGGCGATCTCGTCAAAATGGGCTTTGCATACGTCTAAATTACCACTTGCATGATACCACGTGCGCGCAATACTCAATTCGCACTTGCATATGTCGCAATACGCCGTGAGATCCTTCGATTCATGCCCAACTGACATTACGTCGCTCATGGATTGCCCAATGGCGCACGAGGGGGGATACCAACAACTTCCACAACTGATACCACAAATTGCAACCTCGAGCCGAATCCGCTAGAGCCCAATGGATACTGAAAACGACTAGGAGGACGACGACAACAAACAATGGTACGCACCAGTTGTGCCACAATCGGAAACGCGAACGATGCACAACTAGTCCAACCGTTACTGATCGAAATATTTAACAGCATCGCACCCAAGCGCCGGGTCACGCTCAGCACAGCTTTCTCCCGAGACAACATCGCGATCTGGTTGTTGATCAAGCTGAAGGAACGAAGCGTGGGCTCAAGCAACGTGGCGTCCGGCCCAACAGGACCAGCCAAGCAACGACGTGCGGGAACGCCGAATGTTGCATAACCAATCCGCACCTGTGGCAACCGCGAACCAAAACAGAACACCCCAACGCATAAGCACATACCAGTCGGATGAGGTCTTCAGAAGCATGGAGCAGGAAACCCGCAATAGCAGATTTAGCTCTGGCCCGCCCCCGATCACCACCAACCAACGAAAGGAATGCCAGTCGGTTTTCGAAGTCGGAGGGTCGCGTAAAACAGGTTGGGACCTTTGGATCCCAGAGGGGGTGGACAGAACTCCCTGCAGCATGGCACCCTTCCAAAGAAAACGGCCAAGGCCAAACTGAGCCAGCGGCCAGCGGCTCGAAGCAGCGGCGGCCGCGATGGCATGGCTTCGGGCTGCGCGCAGACAGCCCCCCATGTAGTTCAGGCCAGCCTCAACAGGCCCCCCGAATTCCCAGCTGGTTTTTAAAAGGCCCCCCGAATTGTGTCCAATGCAGGAACGAAGGGGGGCCGCCAACATGGGTCAGGGAGGGGCAGGGGCCGTGCGATGGTCGATACTAGTCGTCGTCGTCGTCCTCCTCCTCCTCCTCCTTTTGCTCCTCCTCCTGCTCCTCCTGCTCCTCCTCCTCCTGCTCCTCCTCCTGCTCCTCCTCCTCCTCCTCCTCCTCCTCCTCCTCCTCCTCCTCCTCCTCCTCCTCCTCCCCAAGCCCCCGAAATCATGGTTTGCTCAAAACGTCGACCCGTGGCGGTCTGGACACACTCCCTGGGACAAGTTTCTCATCCCGAGTCGTTTCCTGACGGTCCTGGGCCGGCGAGGGCCCCCAACAGACCGAATCCGTTCAAAGCCCCCCGAATACAGTCAGTGACACGACTCGGGAGGGGTCTATAGGCCTCCTCTTCCTTGGCAGCGGGGCCCCGGAGACCCCGAGTCCGGGGGGATCTCCGGGGCGCTCGGCGCGCGGCGCGGGCCCTTTCCCGCAGGTCGCCGTGCTCGGCCGCGAACGCGGCGGAGAGGTTGGGCACCGCCACGACACCAAAGCCCCCCCGAATATAGTTTGCTCCACAACTCGGGAGGGGTCTATAGGCCTCCTCCTCCTCCTCCTCCTCCTCCCCTCCTCCTCCTCCTCCTTCTCCTCCTGGCTCATGCCACGTACACCGTGCTTTGAGAGGGCGAAGAAAATATGCAATAGGCTGTTCTGCCATCGGCGCACCTGTCCCGGGGACAGGCGTCCGCGTCGGCGGACAAGAAACCATACCGTTCTTCGCCCGCGAACGCTCAGCCCAGAGGTCCACCGGCCAGCTCCCCCCACCTCCCGCCGGACCCCGCCGTGCCCCCGCTCCCGCCAGAGGGCGAGGCTGGCGTGCCTCGCTGGCTAGGAGGCTGGCGCGCTCCTCGCTCTTGAGGTTGGCCCACGCCTCCTCCGCCGCCGGGTCCACGACCTCGAAGAGGAGCGAGCGGCGGAATGTTTCGAACAAATGCATCACCGTGACAGTCACGACTGGAGCGCCCTACGGTCGGGAACTTTTGCTTAGCGCGTCGCGGTGATGGCCCTGGCGACACGTTATGCCCTGCAAGCAGACAACGTGTCGCTCCGCTCCACGGAGCGGGAAGCTGGGAACAGCTCGGGACGTTGACGCTTGGCAATGGGGACGTGGATGGCGTGCCGGGACGAAGCATGGTGGGCCAGATGCGGCGGAACGACACGGTAAGTCAAACTCCTGACCATGGACCCCATCCCCCTGCGGCATTTTCCGAGCCGGCTCGATCTGTACGGTCCCGGGGCCCGAAGCCAGGCGAAAACCCTCGACGTGAGAGAATTGCAACGCAGGGAAGGCACAGAGCCAGGAGGTGGCTCGAGGATCAAGGCTCGGGGATAGAGGCCTCCCAGCTGGGGCCCGAGTAGATGGGGTCGGAGGATCGCGCCGCATGGCCGATGCATCGACGATGCAAAGGCGACATCCGCGGTTAATCGGCGACGCTGGCGTGGAGAAAATCAAGCTCCACATCGAGTCACACCGCCGATGATGCATCGGCGATGCGGCGCGATCCTCCGACCCCATCTACTCCGACCTCATGAAGAGGGGGCCTAGAGACTCGCAGGTCCGTTTGTTTTTCTCCACGGCGGTGCCCTCGCCCCCGCGGGCCCCGCAGCCGCAGGAGCAGGAGGAACGGCATAAACGTAAGCTCGCAAAGGTCCGCGCAGATCTCTCGGGTCGGCGCGGACCGCCCCCCCCACACCCACCTCCCTGGCGCGCGGAGCGCGCCCCGCATCCACTCCGACCCCGTCCGAGCGACGAAAACAAACGGGTCTCCAGCGAAATGACACAGCGACCTTACGCGGTGGCTTACGCGGGCCGTCAGATCGGCACGACACACTGGAAAAAACGGCGCTCACGCGCGACCTTATGCGGGCAGCTTACGGGAGAATGTCGGTGCAGTCGACCCCGTTCTCTTCCCTCGCTCACCTGGGAGGCTAAGAGGTCGGCTGCACGCCAGAGTGACCCTGGGCAAGAGGGCAAGAGTGACCTTTGGTGCGCGGCTTTTGGAGGGCCGCGGGGAAGAGCCAACACACAGGCGCGCAGGACGCTACTGTCGCAGCGCGCTCGGCGATCGGGGCACCCCAAATGGCTCGCACCCAAGGTCACTCCACTCCGGCGAAGGTCTAGAGGCATCCTAGATCCGAGTAGATGGGGCCGAAGGATCGCGCCGCATCGCCAATGCATCGCCGATGTACCGGCGATGCATCGGCGATGCACCAGCGACGTCGGCGACGCATCGGCGACGTCGGCGTGAAACAAATCGGGCCCCGCATCGAGCCGCATCGGCGATGCACCGGCGGTGCGGCGCGATCCTCCGACCCCGTCTACTCGGACCCCATCTGGGAAGCATAGAAAGTCACCCTTGCCTCTAGTCGGAGGCTTCCGTGCTCCGCGGAGCCCTCCCTCGGCCGCGCCTCTCGGCCCGGAGGCGCGCGCAGGGGGGCGGGGCAGGGCCTGTGGGTCGCCCCCCGGGCGGCCAGCCCAGGCGCCCGCAAGTGCGGCACCGAGGCCGGCTGCAGCCAGACCAGGAGAGCCTCCTCCTCTTCCTCCTCCTCCTCCTCTTCCTCCTCCTCTTCCTCCTCCTGCTCCTTCTCCTCTTCCTCCTGGCCCTCCTCCTCCTCCTCCTCCTCCTCCTCCTCCTCCTCCTCCTCCTCCTCCTCCTCCCTCCTCCTCCTCCTCCCCCTCCTCCTCCTCCTCCTCCTCCTCCTCCTTCTCTCCTCCTCCTCCTCCTTCTCCTTCTCCGCCTCCTCCTCCCCCCTCCTCCTCCTCCTCCTCCTCCTCCTCTCCTTCTCCGCCTCCTCCTCCCCCTCCTCCTCCGCCTCCTCCTCCCCCTCCTACTTTGGAGGCTGCTGCCAAGTGGTTCGTCGCCGCTGAAAAGTATTTGAGGGAGCTTCACTCTTTCGTCCAAGCAGCACTCAGACCGATCGTTGGGATGCAAGGTCCAGCAAGTCCTTCTCCTGGCTGCCTGGGGCCAGGACTTGCATCAACGCTGGTCGCTGGTCAGACACAATTGGCTTTCGCTTCGGATATTGGCTACGCTCTTTTTGAGGCCCACGGCTAACACAGCCGCCATCCTCAACATGGCCAGCTGCTATGATGCACTCTTTCCCCTGGCACGGGAGACAGGGCACAGGGTCTAAAGATCTTTCCCACTTCGTCTCTCTTTCAAGGAGCTTGCCAACCTCTTCCAACCTGAAGTTGCTCGCAGAGTCAGTGAGGAAATCGCTGGGGGGTCCAAAAATGGAAGTCCGCGCATCGTCGCATCAAGGGCTCTTCAGCCCCACCCTGAACCTGTCATGTCAGAAACTGATGAGGGTGCCGGTATCCCTCCAATCGGCGATGAAGCTTTGCAGCAGACCCTGCAGGATAAGATGCCCATTTGGTGCAAAGATAGCCGTGTTCCGGAGGAGCCTCCGAGCGCGTTGTCATGTGAAGATAAGTTTCCTCCGATCTCTGTCGAGCAGGTGTTGGAAGCTGCTAAGTCGTTCCCGCCTTCTACCAGCTTGGGGTGGGATTCGTTCCACCCGAGAGTGCCTCTGGTCCAAGCTTTCGCGGATATTCTCACGGCGTAGGAAAGGGGCCCTAGCTCGGGACATTCTCGTATAACTTTGTTTCTGCCGAGTGAGACCGGCTGGACTGCTCCCCCTGTGGGCCCGTGTATGAAGCCGCAGCAGGCATCAATCTTGTGCGTCTTGGAGTCCTGGAGAATAGAGACCAATGCTTCCTTCTTCTAGGGGCTGAGTACCTGGACGGCGTGCGACAATGGCGCGTGGGTTCACAATGCAATGGCTGCGTTTGCTCGTGAGTCTCCTGGGTTTGCTTCGGGCACGTTGTTCCTGGATCACCGAAAACTTCACGAGCATATCATCTCAGCCATGCCGAGCTTCGAGGCGGCAGCGGGGCCGGTGGGCTGTTCTGTTTCTCTGTTGCGTGCCTTTTGTACTGTGCATCGTTCCCAGCGGCGCATGCCTCTTCAAGGGGCGATCCCGAGAATCATCGCACCGGATGGCACCGTCATTGCAGGCTGTTCAGGAGTCACCTCGCTGGCCCGTTTGCTGCTCATCTCGGTTCTTCGCAGAGTTGTTTCGACATGTATTACGGTCACCCTCAAGATCGCGATCGGTTGTAATTAGTTTTATTCTCTTGCGCAGGGTGTCTAGAGCTCCGACCACTCTATTCCGCGTCGCACCCCCACCCCCCCCGCGCCCCCAGCGCCAGAGTCAGACCCCCGCGCCGTGGCTCTCTGCCCCGAGCCCCCCCGCGCCGCCAGTGCCCCAGCGGGAGCCCCGCCCCCTGCCCCCTCCGCCGCGAACGCTTTATTCC